GCGAAAGCCGATCCGAACCGGCCTCCGAGTAGCGACCTCAGCGACCTCAGCGTTCCAGTGGGGACCCTGATGCTCTGTGACGAGCTCGAGTGGGCTCATGCCAGCCGCCGCCCTTTGGAGGACGTGTTCATCGCGTCACTGACTGCAGCAGGCGCCGACTGGGCCAACATCTGCTCCTGCCGAACCCTCGACTCCGGGATTGTGGGGCCCTCGCCCTGGATCCTGGCCCTGCGCGCGCCCTGGGAGCAAAGGGCCCAGGAGCTGCGCACCCTTCTGGGCCTCCGAGCGCAGGTGGACTGGCACTACGAGCTCCACGGGGCCACGGCCAGTGGTTTGGGGCATCAGGTTCTCACGGGTGACGCGCCTGCTTGCGGCCTCCTCCTGGAGCTGGGGGCGTGCCCAGACAGCCGGGTTCAAACCGCGGGCAGCGCGGCCAAGCTGCTTGACGTGGCCATCAACTTGCAGGACAAGGAGGCGGCTGCATCGATTGTCGATGTGCTTCTCAAGCACAAGGCCTTCCCACATATTGAAGTGCACATCGACACGATGCCAGTGCCTTTCCCCGATGCCGTCAAGAAGCTTGCAGCAAGCCATGCGTCGTTTCAGCAGGTGAAGAAAACCCATCTGGACTCCGACGACGAAGAGCAAGATCAGGAATCGTCGGAGGAGGACAACGAGGACGAGCAAGAGGAGGGCGAGGAGTCGGAGGGAGGTGATTTGGGAGAGGTCACTCTTCACGAAGATGATCGGGTCGTCGTGCGATGCGCTGCGAATTTGCGGGAGGACCAGCAAGTCTTCCGCGTGCTGCAGGTCTCCGATGCCACCGCCACGGTGAAGGCATTGGAGGGCTGCGAGCGATTCGAGTGCCCGCTGGGAGACTTGATTCGCCTGGCACCACCCATCATGGATGACAGCGGCTACAGCTCGGACGCAGACTACGCCTACTGGGACCTGCGCCGGGGGAAGCAGCCCCCAAACTTAGAGGCGGTGGGGCGTCCCATGGTCATCGTCTCCCGGCGCAGCGCGCAGGCCATCGAGGTGCCCAAGGGGTCCCACTTGCTGGCCAAGCTCCCGGCCGTTTTGGAGGGGTCGCAGTACACCCTCCTGCTGGAGTTCCGGCTGAAGCCCTTCCACGGAGTCCTGGCGCTCTTGCACACGGCCAAGGAGTTGGGGATGGCCGAGTTGGCCATCCAGGCCTCCGAGGGGACGGAGGAGCTGCCCTCACGGCCCATCCTCCAGTTTCGGACCCTTGGGCTGCTTTTGGCATTCAGTGGCCGGAATACTCTGGGTATATCTCACTCCATATGGCAAACACAGAAATGTATGTGTGTGTATATATGTGTGTATATATGTAGCGGTTCATACGTATCATATAGATACAACTCTGTTATATCACAACTTACATCAAGTTCCTGAACAGCAGCTCAGGAATCCCAGGGGTGAGACTCTGCTTTCCGCCAGCCTCGCCTGGAATCAGTGGGTTTCTTTGGTGGTGACCCGGTCGCCCAAAGGCTCCGCACAGGTGTTCCTGAACGGCACGGTTGTGAAGGTGGAGGGCAAGCAGGAGGCACCACAGTGAAGATGTTCAATATGGTGGCGGTGTTGCTAAGTATTATGTGCAACTCTATCTGCTACGTAGGATGACCTCAACCCTAAACCCCAAGCCCTAAACTTTAAACTCTAAGCCCTAAGCCCTAAACCCTAAACCCTAAACCGTAACCTAGAACCCTGAAACCCTGAAACCCTAAAACCCTAAAACCCTAAAACCCTAAAACCCTAAACCCTAAACCCTAAACCCTAAACCCTAAACCCTAAACCCTAAACCCTACCATGGAGAGGTTGAGGAGCCCACCTTGCCAACAATCTCCGGTGGATTCCGTCTGTTCGGCTCTCGGTCCCCTGAGGAGGGTGCCAAGGACTTCGGTTTTCTTGAGGTTTAGGGTTTAGGGTTAAGGGTTTAGGGCTTAGGGTTTAGGGTTTAGGGCTGAGGGGTGAGGGGTTAGGGTTTGGGGGTTTAGGGTTTAGGGGTTGGGCTTGCGCCTTATGAGGCGGCTGGAAAGAAGAACCAGCGAAGAAAGGAAGATATTGACTGTATTAGGAGAGTAAGACAGTAGACATTGGCAGAAAGAAGTGTGCCCTGAACTTCTATTTGAACTCGGGCTTGTGGTTCACATCCGAAATAGAACTAACGAAGTGCGCACGTAAAGTTCGCGCAACTCAAGATTATGGTTCCAAAGGTGTGCGAAGTAACGCCGTGGAGCCCTTAATATTCAAGACTTCCGTGGTCCGTTCTTTCATTCAATTCGGCTTTCTGGTTTCGGGGTCAAGGGTTAGGGGGCTCGGGCTAACAGAGAAGCAACATTCAGCAAACGGAGGCAACGTTAAACCCTCCACCCCAAAAGGATTCAGGAAACGAGAAATAGCAAGCTTCAGGAACCAAGGCCTGAGAAGCTTCGTCTGTTTTACGGTGATGCAGTTTTTTCTTGGGGCTGCGTAGATTCTTTCCGGGAGTCGTTCACCGGCTGTAAATAGTTAGTGGTGGGGGGTGGGGGGGGAGGTTGGTGGGACGGGTGGTTTAGGGTTAAGAGTTGAATTAAGGTTTATATATGCATGATGGGTTTGGAAAGGATTCATATGCTGTTGAACGAATCGCTGCATGGCGCAATATTTCTTGGAACGCGCTTGCGCGGTTCAAAAAAAGTGTGGGGGCTGGAGGGGGGGGGGGGGTTCGCGGCCTGCTTTTCCTGAATTTGTAAACCTTCGGCGGTTTTCCGAGTTTGTTCAGGCCGTTTCCGACCTTGGTGCCCCGCTAGGGGTTTATGAGGCTTTCGGTCGGTGTGTCGGTGTCGGTGTCGGTGTCGGTGTCGGTGTCGCTCTGTGTGTGTGTGTGTGTGTGTGTGTGTGTGTGTGTGTGTGTGTGTGTGTGTGTGTGTGTGTGTGTGTGTGTGTGTGTGTGTGTGTGTGTGTGTGTGTGTGTGTGTGTGTGTGTGTGTGTGTGTGTGTGTGTGTGTGGGTGTGGGTGTGTGTGTGTGTGTGTGTGTGTGTGTGTGTGTGTGTGTGTGTGTGTGTGTGTGTGTGTGTGTGTGTGTGTGTGTGTGTGTGTGGTGTGTGTGTGTGTGTGTGTGTGTGTGTGTGTGTGTGTGTGTGTGTGTGTGTGTGTGTGTGTGTGTGTGTGTGTGTGTGTGTGTGTGTGTTTTTCTTGAAATCACGGCCCGGAACGAACTCTTGGAGTCAAAGTGCTTCTTTGGACTCTAAGGAATCCATCAGATTCTAGCAGAACAAAAAGTGGGTTTAGGGTTTAGGGTCGAAGGTTCAGGGTTTAGGGTCGAAGGTTCAGGGTTCAGGGTTTAGGGTTTAGGGTGCCAATGTCTTCCTCCATTTCCAGGACTGTGCCTTGCGATTGCTGGTCTTCTGCGGCCAGCACTTTGGGACCCAAGCGCTCCAGGTGGGGCTTTTTGCTACGTGGGGCTGGATCATAGGGCATGGGGGTTTAGGGTTTAGGGTTAGGTTTTGAGAAGTTTTGAGAAGTTTAGAGTCAGAGGGTATAGGGGGTTGACAGGGACATTGGGATCTATACGGCTTGAGGTTATAGGAGTTTTGAGAAGTTTGGAGAGGGCTTAAGGGTTTACAGGGATGTTGAGTAAGGGTGGAGGGGGCTGGTCTCCTTGTTCCCTTTGACCCCGAGACCTCAACCCTAAACTACCCTAAGCCCCAAGCCCGAACCCCAACCCTAGCCCGAAACCCTAGCCCGAAACCCTAGCCCTAAACCCCTAAACCCAGGCGTTCCTGGAGAACAAGCGGAAGTGGGCGAAGCCCGTGCAGCCGAAACCTTTGGTGTTGCAAAGGCTGAAGTTGATGCGGAAGCACGCCCACCCCATCTTCATGAATGCTCCTGGCCGCTATTTTGGGTTTAGAGTTTAGGGTTTAGGGTTTAGGGTTGAGGGTTTAGGGTTGAGGGTTTGGGGTTTCGGGTTTAGGGTTTCGGGCTTAGGGTTTCAGGGTCTTCTGGGCGTATACCCGCTGATCAAGGGGTATAGCTCCCAGTCAGCTGAAGGACAAGAGTAGGAGACATATGAAACCCTAAACCCTAAACCCTAAACCCTAAACCCTAAACCCTAAACCCTAAACCCTAAACCCTAAACCCTAAACCCTAAGCCCTAAACCCTTATGAGTTGCAGGCTTGCTTCATGGGCTGCTTCTGCGACGCCTTCATTCCGATGAGTGGAAATCTGGCACCGGAGCAGTTGAAGCTGGGATATCGGCTCTTCCTGGCCGCCTTGGGGGAATTCCGCCACGAAGCCTCCAAGGACCCCTAAACCCTAAACCCTAAACCCTAAACCCTAAACCCTAAACCCTAAACCCTAAACCCTAAACCCTAAACCCTAAATCGTGCCCCGGACCTCCAAGAGGTCCAAGAGGTGCAGGAGGCCATGAAGCACCTGGATGTCGTCTCCAAGAGCCTCGAAGCCTCAGAGAAGCTCTTCGTGGCCTTTGACAAGGTGTGGACTGCCGGCGACGATGGTCTGGAGGCCTTAACAATGAACAATAAGCCCGAAACCCTAAGCCCTCAGCGTAAAGGGTTTATGAAGACCCTTTATTGTCTTAACGTTATGGGATTCTTTGGGCGGGTGGGTTTTTGTCTAAGTCTACGCTTCGCACGCCCGACTAGACTTCTCGATCCGGAGCTGCTGAACCCTAAGCCCAAAAACCCTAGGCCCTAAACCCTAAACCCTAAACCCTAAATCCTAGGAGCTGCTGAACCCTAAGCCCTAAACCCTAAACCCGAAACCCTGGGAGGCCGCTGCGTCTCGGGCCGTGGCGTTCTTGAAGGTCTTGAACCCCATGCGGAAGCAGCTCAAAGGCGCCGGCCGCGAGTTCGGACCCTTGGTCGTCCCCTTCGGCTTAGTGGCGGCTTGGCTCAAGAATGCAGGGGGGTCGCGGGATCACACACACACACACACAGCAAAATCCCAAACAATTCTGCTGGAAATCGTCTATGGGACTTTTTGGAGTGGTGTTTTTGGTTGAGGTTTCGGTTCATTCGTCTCTGAGGAGATGAGCGAGCGGGAGCCGGTGAAGCAGTTCGCGCTGCTGATCTTGGAGAAGCCCTACGAGAAGCCGATGGAGTCTTGCTACAGGATCACCCTCGTAAATCCTGGGAATGGCAAGGAGTTCCACAAAGTCTCCGTCCTTGCGCACCCCAAGGTCAAGTATCAGACGGCTATGGTCTTCGACCACATCTCCGAGAGCAAGGCCGAGGACGATGCCTGGTGGCTGGCCGTCTTCTCGACAGTGCCCGTGATTTCGAAGAAGGCATCTTTCTCACTGCTCCTATATCCCCCCTTGGGAAGCATTGTATATTTTTTGTTCATATAAAACCCAAGAGGATATTACAAATACTTATTTTTGTTAAGGTTCTAAGGGGAGTATAGGTTCTACGACATCTTCTTGCCCTCCCTGCTCGGCCCGGCCGGAGAAGCCCGAATGCTGGAGGATGCGCTGATGGAGTCGAACGACACGGATTGGCGGAGCCCCCAACACTCCGGAGCCTTCTGGAAGGCCTTGTCTGATCCCCCTAAGATCCGACCACCTATATCTTAATAGGTTTTCTGATTCGCTATGCTACCCCCCCCCCTCCTCGCTCTCTGCGAAGCATCCTAAATAGGTGGAAAGCGTTCCTGATCTGAGCCCTGTTCTGTTGGCCAGGTGCTCATGCACGGCCTCCGCCGGTTGCTCCGATCCGCAGGCGTCTCTGTGCCTATAAGCAAGATGCTGCAATGGAGCTTGCGGCGCCAGATGCTTGAGTTTGCATTGGAGGACGCCTTCCACTTTGGCTGCGTGTGTGCCGCTCTCCCTCTCTCTCTCTCTCCCCTCCTCCCCCTCGTGTATGTATGTATGCATGCATGCATGCATGTATGTATGTACATACGCATATATGTGAACAGTGGACACACATTTCCGGCGTCGTGTTCGGTCTGATGCCCTTCGGCTGCCTTCATGGTGTCCTCTTGCGGAGGACGTGGACGCCTCCTTGAGCCTCCGCACCAGCGATCGGCAGTGCTTGCGCATCGCGGCAGCCCCTTGGGGGGAAAATTGGGACCATCCTCCCATTGTATTATATAGTTTTAGCAAGCCCTTACAAGCCCTACTCCCTACAACGCAAATTGTCGGGTTCCTCAAGCCCCCACAAGGCCCAGCTGGGCGTGTCGGCTGTCAAGAGCACGGTCATGGGCACAGCGAGTTCTCTCCCTGAGCTTAGCGCGCAGCCCGTGCAGGACTTTTGGAGCGGTCTGGGTTGGTTCGTCGGGCTTAGGCTTGGGGTTTTGCTGTAGGCTTTAAGGTTTGGTTCCCCTGTCTAAAGAAGAGGGTCCCACCCCCCTTTCCCCCAAAGAACAGGACCCTTACCCAGAAGAATCCCACCCCCCCCCCATATATTGTCAAACAGAGAGGCGAAGAAGCTGATCGAGAAGATCGAGCTCGCCATCAAGGCAAAACCTCCCGGCCTCTCCGGGGCCTTGCCTCTGCCGGACCTTCCTCTGGAGACCTTGGGAAATCTGGCTCCCCAGGACGCGGCGCATCCGAACTGGGACATGTTCCTGCAGCCGAGGCCGAGGCCCTCCCAGTCACTGCAGATCCCGCCGCAAGTTCCCCTGAACCTGCTGGATCTCCGGGACCACGCCGAGACCATCCAGGAGGTGGTCCAGGTGATCTACCGGGCCGATGAGATCTGCAGAATTCTGTCCGGCCTTCGTCAGGCTGGCCGCTGCAGGTTCCAGGGGTCGGTTTGAACATGATTGTTCATGTCGTTTTGTAGCCCTTAGTCCCCTTTTTCATCCTGGTAAAGCCATGAACATGTGATTTTTAATCGGGCCCCCTAAACACTAAACCCAAGGTTCGGCCACCTCTTCATCGTCAACGTCTTGCAGCAGTGCCGTGGTCAGAATGACAAGCTGATGGGCAGAGTAGGCGGCAGCATGAGGGAGGTGTCTCATTCTTTTGTTCGAGTGTTGCTGAGGGCTTGACTTGGGGCATCCATTCTACCCTAAACCCTAAACCCTCAACCCTAAACCCGAAACCCTAAACCCTAAACCCTAAACCCTAAACCCCAAACCCTAAACCCTAAACCCTAACCCCGAAACCCTAAATCCTAAACCCTAAACCCCAAACCCTCCTATAGTAGGCCTGCGCCCGAAGCCCAGGCTCTTCACTGAGATCATCCCGGCCCCTTTGGGTCCCAGGTCCCTCGCGGACGATGGGGCCCACGACGTGTGGTCAGCAGGCCTCGTTTGGGGTTTAGGGTTTAGGGTTTAGGGTTTAGGGTTTAGGGTGTAGGGTTCAGGGTGTAGGGTTCAGGGTTTCGGGTTGAGGGTGCGAACTTCTCAACCCTCAAAGCCCGAGACCCGAAGCCTGCAACCCTACACCCAAAAAACCCGAAGCCCTAAACCCTAAACCCTAAACCCTAAATCCTAAACCCTAAATCCTAAACCCTAAACCCTAAGCAGGCCCCAAGTTCGACGAGCGGCACGACCACCTGACACGGGGCATGATCGCTGACCTGCACCTCGTAGACTAACCCAGAGAGGGTTACATATGACGTACACTCACAGGGTTTAGGGATTTGGGGTTTGGGGTTTAGGGTGACTAGACATGGCTTGCGGTGGTGGAGGGGGAGGGGTCCTCCGAGCTCCCCTAAACCCTAAACCCGAAACCCGAAACCCTAAACCCTAAACCCCAAAAACTAAACCCTAAACCCTAAGCCCTAAACCCTATGCGGAGCTGCAGTTTGTATTCAGGAATTGTGTTGAGGTTTAAAGGAAAAGGGTCAATGTGCCCGATGATATTATTGGCTCAAGACTGGGCCATGCGCCTGGTAGCAAAAAGAAACCTCGTGTGTTTGGTGTTTGCTGGTTGGTTCAGGGTGAAACCTCTGGCGACTGTTAGGGTTGATTCCTTTCCCCTTTCGGTTGCCCCCGTAGGTTATGAGCCCAAATTAGGTTCCCTGCGGTTAAGGGTTTTCTTGAGGTTTTTGGGATCAAGAAGCAATGCCTTCCCCCAAGCGATGGCTCCAACCTTCCTCGGATGGTGGAAAAGATGGTGGAGCTGGAAGTGGTGCAACTGAGTCTCTGGGTGAAAGGGTGGCGCTAGAAGAGGTAATGCCTGGCGCTGAAGAACATCTGGAGGAAACCGCGGTTGCAGAAGGCCCCAATGAGGGTATGAATCCCAATGTGGATATGGTTAGCAATGCTGAAGCTGAAGGACGAGCTGTTTTTGTATCGCCAAAACCTGGGGAAAAGAGGAACTGGGACGCGACTGGCGGTATAGACCGTGAACTGGAGGTGACCGTTTTACGCGTGTTGCACAAGCATGGGTATCAGCCGTCGACCTCAACTTCGGGACGAATGGTAGATCAAGGGTCTCAGACCAGTCTGAGTGGAGAGATGCTGCAAGCTTCCAGGAGACCTCTGAACAAGATTAAAGAGGATCCCTCGGCGAGTTCCATGTGCGGTGAAAGCGGTTGTGAACAGGAAATGAAGGGTGCGGACAGTTTTGAAGCTGCACCTACTGCTGAATACGCCATGGGGGAGGAGGAGATCCTAGAGATGGAGGTTGAAAGGTTGCGCCAGTTGTCGGAAGAAGCGGATGAGATGCGCCAAGTCTCTGGAGCGGATGGTTTTCAGAAAGACGAGCATCTGGTTCGAGCGTGTGATGGGACAACTTGGGAGTGGCATATCCACGAAGATGGGAGACAGTATTACTACTGCCTGGATACGCAGGAAAGCAAGTGGACGCCGCCGGATGTAGGTGAAAAGGTGAAAAGCGACAACGTGGTTGGGTCTCCTTCGGGCAATGGGCTGGAAGTGGAGACTGAACTGGGTCCTTCATCGACTACACCGACACCTGAGTCTACGAAGGCATTCCAGGGTAGTGTAAATAGTTTAGGTGAAAAAGATTTTTCCTCTACTACTGGGGATAGCGGTCTTAGGGATGGTGGTGACGCCCAGACCTCGGGTTCTCCTAACGAGGAAGGAATTTCTGGATTCCAAACAGACATGGCTGGAGAGCATCTGGATCGGGAAGAAATGGAAGTACTTTCCGAGGGTGTCGCAGCGGTGAAATCTGTGGATCCGGAGGAAAAAGTTCCCAATGCGGAGGTGGATGCTGTGTCGGCTACAGAAGAGCGAGTGGTGGATGAGGTATCTGGCATTCAGGAGGGTGGTCCTGAAGATCTGGAGGACGAAGGGAAAAAGTCATGCGTTACGACTGAGGAGGTCTCTTCGTTTGGTGCCATGAATTCTGCCACTCAAGGGGAAAATGAAGCTTCTGGAATAGCTGGAGACACGGTTGATCTGAAGGATGAGGCCTGGAGCGCCAATGAAGCGCGGGTCAATGTGCCAGATAGTACCTGGAGTGCAAAGGAGGCACAGGTTGAGGCGCATGTGGTTTTATGTTCCGCGGACGACTGCAACAATGGGGCGCAGGTCTCCGTAGTAGCCAACGATGGAGGCTCACAGGTGGACGCACTAGTGCAGCTTGAAGTTGGAGGCGAGGAACAGAATGACGAAGGCTACACCGGAGCCAATGCGGCAGCTGTGGTCAATGATGGTGATGATTCTCTTTTGGCAACCATGGAACCAAAGGAGCCTGCGGCGGAAGAGAATGTGCCTGCCGTGGATGACCAATCAAACGACCCTGCAGTGGAAGAAGATTTGCCCGCTGCAGATGATTCAACAAAGGACTCAAATGGTGAGTCCTCCTCCAAGAAGGAAGAAAAAGTGCCAGTCGAAAGCCTGACGGAAGTCGACACCGTTCAGATTTCAACCGACGAGGCAGAATCATTGGTTCAGAAAGGAGACGGTCCTGAATTCCGGGAGCACAAGGTGGATGAGCTTGTGGGACTCGTGGAGCAGGACAAGCAGCTTGCCTCCAAGGTGGAAACAAGGGACGTTCCGGGAGCCGAAGAAACAATTCCGGTTTCTGAAGAACCAACGAAGAAAGTACCCAAAGACGAGCCTTGGATACACCTGGGGAGCATTGCTATCAAGCGGGAGACCGGATCGATGGAAAGACCGCACAACTGGGAGAATCTTTGACAGTACGAAAGGGTATCCTGGTGAAGGACCGAATGGTGGTGATGACTTGATTTCCTCTAAGAGGAACTTGCCCTGGATCTCGGAAGATTATCTCGATGGAGTGATGTCAAAAAAGATGGAAGCGTCTTCAGAGATGAATGTGTTGGATGGGTTTGTTCCGGAAAGTGAGGGACAGTTGGAAAAGGTAGAGGTGGAGAATGTAACTGCCTCTAGAATTCTTATGGCTCTTTGGAAAAAGGGGTATAGAGCCGGGTTTAGGAGGTTGTGTCGTTCAAATGTATCTGG